AATAAACTTAAAGTAAATGAGCTATTGTTAAGTAGATGGAATATACCATCTTTAATTTAAGAGAATAGTTTCAGATGAAAAGCGATGACTTGCCAATATTTTGCCACAAAGTATAACCTGTTTATTTCACTATGCCATACTGGTCAAAACAATTTAGAGAATAATTGTAAAGCAGTGAATGATCAGTCCTCTAATCAGCTACTACTCATTTTGATGATGTTATAAGCACATTTGCCACTCACGTGTTGGCCAGATCCTACTGCATTTGCCAACATTCACTGCACATCTAGATTTCTGATTACTCATTGGAAAATTTAGGTCTTAGTCATTTTCAAACCATTAAATGTAGCCATGAAACGTATACTCCAGGTTATGACATTCATTGATCAAAAAAAGGCAAATCATTTATTAATGAATTGCTCAGTGATTGTTACAAAGGGCACTACTCATTTTTCTCTCACTCGTTCCTCTGATCATTGTACACATTAGAGATACAATTGAGGACTGTAAGCCTACATTTTTCATTTGAAGTTGCTCCTTCTTCTTGCCATAAGTATAGAACCTACTTACATGTACGGGGTGCAGGCTTTGAATTCTGGTAATTGCAGGTACGTTCAGGCAGGGCAATGCAGGAAGATTTTTTTTTTTTATTTTCTTATTTAGGGTTCACACCTATCTGTTAAAAGAAATAGCCTTCTAATACAAATAACGCAACCCAGTTACACAAATGTCATATAAAACAACAAAATTTATTACAGACATGTCAACCTAAACCTGAAATATAGCTTTCAAGACCTGGTCAGTGATGTAGGGTAATGTAGCATATTGAAGGCACTTAGGCAGGTACGGCTAGTGAGAAATACATTTTAACCAGGGGACTCAAGAACCAAACCACAGTGGGGGAAAGGGGAATATAAAAGCACTGGAGGAGGGAGGAAAGCTGATAGAAGAGTGGAATTACATTGTAAACAGTGAGGCTCAGAATGGTTCAGAAAAAGTCTGAATAAGTCACTCAAAACAAGAGAAATCCAGACTTTAATTTTACCTTACCAACTTAAGACAGATTTTACCTAAAATCACTTTAGTTTTACATCCTAAACCCTTGTGAAAGCAGCATACTTTTAAGTTCCTTACACATTAATTTGAGATCACTTTTCAATGCTTTTGAGTTCCTTCTGACCTGCTTCAGACCTCCTATGCTGCTTCAAACTGTTTTTTTGCATTGACTTTGACTTTTATTAGAAAAGACGTTGTGATACAAAAAAGGCCCATATACTGTCATTTTTGGTAAATATAAGTCACAGGGGTTAGAAAAGTTAAAAGTGCACTTTTGTAATAAAGCTTCACTGTTGCTTTTACAGTTCTTATACTCTTTCCATACAGGCCAGGTGTTACCTGAAAGATGTCAGAGAAAACAGGAGCAATTTAGGAGATAAAATTTAGGATAGGGTACAGGGGTGAACTAGAGACCATTAGCCTAGGGGCAAAGACAATTAGGTGGCTTTTTAATAGTAGGGATGTTCTGGGCTAAATGAAGTGTAATATGCCAAAGTGCCTCATTAAATTGAGGACATTATGAAAGGTGGGTTTACCTAAAGGACTTGGTTTAATGTGACACACCTTTTTTACATTCAGCTTACTTAATGGCTCTTGGCATTTGGTCCCATGATATCTTGAGCCACTAAGGAAGTTAGTGCTGGAAAACTTCTCTGTCCCAGGAGTTGCAATCACAATCCTGAATGGGGAGTTAGTAGCTATATAATGCCTAGCATATGTTACTGACTGCAAGTGCCAAACTGACTGGTGTCTAAATGGTGCAGTATCTCCACTCAGAGACACCAGACTAACATATGGTAATAGTACTGGCCCATTGGGAAAATTTGCATATGTACCTCCAGCTCAGTCCTGTGCTGATAGGGCACCTACATATTCTGTTTCCTTTTTGAAGAAATATGTCCCTGACATTCCTTTAGATAACGCTACCATCAAACCCGCCCCGAAGGCCAGAGTACTTGGTGTCATTCTGGACTCCAACCTATCCTTCCAGCCCCAAGTCCAATCTTTAACAAACTCGTGCAGACTCCACCTCCGCAACATCGCCAAAATCTGCACGTTCCTAACTCCAGAAACCACTAAACAGCTCATCCACTCCCTCATCATATCATGACTCGACTACTGCAACTCCCTCCTCACTGGCCTGCCTCGCCGCTGGCTATCCCCGCTTCACTCGATCCTGAATACGGCTGCCAGACTCATTCACCTTTCCAACCGCTCCGTCTCCGCCACCCCCCTCTGCCAATCCTTCCACTGGCTTCCGATTGCGCAACGGATCAAATTCAAAATCCTAACGCTGACGTACAAAGCTGTCCACCATACTGCCCCGAACTACATCACTGACCTAATATCCAAGTACCGCCCAGCACGCACACTCCGCTCCACACAAGACCTCCTTCTCTCTAGTTCCCTGGTCTCCTCCTCCCATGCCCGCCTCCAGGACTTCTCCAGGGTGTCACCCATCCTCTGGAACTCCCTGCCCCAACCCATCAGATTATCACCTACTCTCCTTTCCTTTAGGCGCACCCTGAAAACCCATCTCTTCAGGGAAGCCTACCCCACCCCCTGCTAACTTGCCGACCTCCTCCACTCTTCCTACCACTCAATCTTCCACAGCTATCTCCTCCTGTGCCACCATCCCCTCCCTCCTAGATTGTAAGCTCGAAAGAGCAGGGCCCTCAATCCCCTCATGTTTTGCATTGTATTGGTATTGTTCTGTCACATGTTCTGTCCCCCTTTGTAATATACAGCGCTGAGCGAACTATTGGCGCTTTATAAATACTGTATAATAATAATAATTAACTTCTCATTCTTGCTTAGGGTCCACGAACACTGACCTAAAAAATGCTGCTTTTACAGGAGTTTTGTGTTTTGCTTGTAGAAGCTGCTTAATGTTATCCTATGTCCATGCATATTAGGAAGTTTTGAGGCGTACTTAAGCTCATTGTTTTGAGAAGAAAAAAACCCTTCTGTTTTGCATTTTTGATTGGAATTTTCTGGCAGAAAAAAATGTTAAATACTCCTGAACGTGCCTAAACTTGTGTACAAAAACTGGCTTTTTTTAAGCCCAGTGTGCATGGAGCCTAATAGTTACTAATTGTTGCCATTGGTGTATGATTTCCATGAACAGATCTGGGCTTTGAAGATCTGTCACGTAAAAAAAAAAAATTTAAGCTTGTGTTTTGATATTACATTTGATTTTTAGTATATATGTATGATCCATGTTTATTGTAGTGAATGATTGTCTTTTAGCATAGTAATATAAAGAGTCTTGCAGATGTGAGCTAACAGCTTGCATATCTAAAGAGATTCCAGGAATGCCTTGTTTGATACTTCCAGTCATGTACTTGAAAATGTTTGCAGAAGTCCTTATCAGCCATCAGGCAGGAAATGTAAACTGGCAGATGGCTGAAAATCCCAGCATAGCTCTTAAGGGAAAGATAGAGAAAAGAGTTAAAATGCTTGGTTTTCGCAGTCTACAGAACCCAAATGTCCACTGTGCACTTCCTACAGGTGCAAGTGGTACTCAGTCCTCTCAAATAAATTCAGTATACTGGTACAAAAGTTTTAAGCAAATATATAGTTTTACAAAAATTGAAGTGTAAAATCAGCATGATAATGTGTCTGTTGTTACCTTCTCTTTCTGAGCTGCCAATAATGAAGGCCACAGCAGAACCCTGCACTTCCAGATATGGGACACACAGGGACCCCCTTCTTCACCTCCTACAATGGGTGCTTTAGTATGTGTGTGTATATATATATATATATATATATATATATGCACACACAGTGTGTGTTCAAAATAATAGCAGTGTGTTTGAAAAAAGTGAATAAAGCTCAAAATCCTTCTAATAGCTTTTATTTCCATACACACAAATGCATTGGGAACACTACACATTCTATTCCAAATCAAAACATGAAGAAAAATATATCATCAAAAAATTTGTGTTGTTCCTCTAAAAAAATTGAAGAAAAGTGAATATTAGACTACATTCCACAGTTCTTCTCTATTTCTTGGTTTTGCCTCAGAAAAACTGCATTTTTGATGTCACCCCACAAGTTTTTCTGTTGGATTAAGATCCGGGATTGAGCTGACCACCACTCCATAACGTCAATCTTGTTGGTCTGGAACCAAGATGTTGCACGTTTACTGGTGTGTTTGGGGTCGTTGTCTTGTTGGAACACCCATTTCAAGGGCATTTCCTCTTCAGCATAAGGCAGCATGACTTCTTCAAGTATTCTGATGTATTCAAACTGATCCATGATCCCTGGTATGCGATAAATAGGCCCAACACCGTAGTATGAGAAACATCCCCATATCATGATGCTTGCGCCACCATGCTTCACTGTCTTCACAGTGTACTGTGGCTTGAATTCAGTGTTTGGGGGGTCGTCTGACAAACTGTCTCCGACACTAGACCCAAAAAGAACAATCTTACTTTCACATTTGCTGCCTTCCTTCCTTAACCTCCCTAGCGGTATACTCACAGATTATTTCAGATTTTTGGTGCTGAAAGTGGTACCATTATTTTGCATGGAAATATGTAGTTTTTTTTATTGTAGGCTGTAATATTTTTCAGGAATAACTCACTGAAATCTGTCCGAACAAGATAGTCTATTAAACATCCCAGGTATGATAAAATTTTGAAACACAAAATCATAAATTATAATTTAATAAATAATCATAAAAAATAATAATACATTTAATTCAAAAATATAATCAAACCAAAAACACTGAAATTTGAAATATAGCGCCAAGTTCGCACATCGCTGAGCAAAGTCGCAAAATCGTTTTCAGTGTCTGATGACAAATTTCCCCACGAATCATTATCACTTAATTCTGCAAGTGGTTCTGATTTACTATCGCTGTTCTCTAGCTGGTCTAAAACCGCTTTTGACCTAAAGGGACACTTTTTGGACGCCATGGACTTTTCTAAGTTTCCAGGCAGAAAGAACAGTCAAAATGCAGACAGGGGACAGGACAGAGCACTAGGGACAAAATGTATGTGAAATGGGTTGAAACAGCAATGTTTTACTATGTAAAATCGTTTTGAAAAAAATGAATTTTTTTTTTTAAATTTTCAAATTTCCCGCCGCCACCCGGCACCGCCCGTACATCCCAACGTCATAGGGACCGGAACACTGGAGCCGGATGCCGGCATCAGCCAGAGGAGATGGCCGGGACGCTGCAGGGGACACATTGCGGGAGCGCAGGACAAGGTAAGCTCTGCAGGAATCCCTATGCAGCGCCGCATGGTAAGCCCGAGTGTAGCTCGGGGTTACTGCTTTTGGTACAGACATTTTACCCCGAGCTACACTCGGGAATACCATTAGGGAGGTTAAATAAGGGCAATAATTGGCACCTGTTTTTCATAGAATGAATGACCTCACTAATAGAACTCCACACTGCTATTATTTTGAACATGCCCCTTTCAATTAGTGATTCAATTATGCAGAATCAGCAGCATGCATGTCATGACTGTTGGGTCTGTTGGATTTCTATTACTCTACTACACCTGCTAGTAAATTGTATGCCATGTAGAAATATCATTTCTGTTCCTTTCTTATTCACCCTGTGTTCATAAACAGTACAAGTGCCGGGTTATGTAATCTTTGGTTGAATATCATTCCATCTGAGAGGTCTTCTAATGGTGGTAGATTAGTCTGTGACTAAAAATTATTCTCCTTATCAGGGCTTTTTTGTAAGCAGGGACATAGCGGAATGCATTTCTGGCATATTGCTGGGTTGTGATCTATTGTTGTGGGTAAAGGAAGCCTGTTTTGTGGGGAAGGGTGTCTATTATTGCTGGTTTGGGGGTCTACTGTTGCTGGGGGGTCTTTTGTTGCTGAGGGGGGTCTAATGTTGAGGGTGGGGTCTAAAATGAAGTGTTTCTGTATTCTCTAAAAGGGGTGGTACTAGGAAGTAGGTAAAGGGCAGAGACAAAGGACAGTGCTCAGAAAGTGGGTAGAGGCTGGAAACAAGGGGAGAGGAGGGGGGGTTTTACCTGCACCTACAGTATTCTCTGAGAAAGAAAAAAATTGGTCCCTATTGTATACTTGTGAGCTGCAAAGATGGAATATTTTGTACATGATTGAAGCTTCAAAGATCTATTTCCCATTACTGATCAGTTGGATCTAGTGTTAATTCTGACATCTCATACAGCAGGCATGTCCAAAGTCCGGCCCCGCAGGCCATTTACGGCCCGAGGGTCGGTTTAATACGGCCCTCCATGTCAGTGTGTCAGTGTGTCTTATGGAGCGAATATGGAGCGGCCGGTCCGGTATTTCCACCGCGGCCGTGTCAGAATACCGGGCCGGCCGCTCAGCTCTGCAGCGGGACCTTACCTGTTCCTCTATCCAGCGGCGCGCTGTCTTCCCGGCTTCTGTAGTGTGGGCGCTGGGCATGACAGCCGGGTGCCAAGTGCGCATGCGCAAGAAGCGGTGCTTTTTGTGAATGGTAAGGCGGTACCTGGGACACATGACAGATCCCAGAAGCCGCCGGACCAATCACAAAGCGCAAGTGCTTCTCGCTCATACGCACTGGGCACCCGGCTGTCATGCCGAGCGCCATTACAGAAGCCGGGAAGACAGCGCGCGGCTGGATCGAGGAACAGGTAAGATCAAAGAACAACTGCGGAAGTAAGAGCGGGTACCTGTCAAATTCAGGTACCCGCTCCCCACCTCCCCAAAGGTTAGCAGTCATCTGTACTGTCCGCAGTCTCTGGTCATCCCTGTGCTGTCCGCAGTCTCTGGTCATCCCTGTGCTGTCCGCAGTCTCTGGTCATCTCCTGTACTGTGTCTGCAGTCCATTAGTTCAGAATTTTTTTTTTCCTGTTTTCTGCCTCTAAAACCTAGGTGCGTCTTATGGTCAGGTGCGTCTTATACGGCGAAAAATACGGTAACTTGGCATAAAATAATTTATTTGCATTTAATTGTAATGGTTCAAAGAATGTTTGGAAAAATGTTCGGCCCTCCACCATGTTCACTTCATCCAATCTGGCCCTCTTTGAAAAAAGTTTGGACACCCCTGTCATACAGCATACAGTATGTATAAAATCATACTTCAGTTACCTTGACCTAATTTTGATTTTGTGCAGAGAATTCACAGAAATATTAGAACTGTGGTGGATTAAACACAATCCTAAAGGTTCATCACATTTCAAATATACATTCATACACATTATGTACCTACTAATCTGAAAATGTATTAATGCACTTTGAATTATTATAATTAATCACCTGCAATTTTAAATTAGAAAATAAAAATACTAAATCAGAAACTAATATTGGGTATGATATGTTTCAGTCTACTCATAGCAACAGATTAAAATCATATCATAAGGAACCCTGTACTGAGAAAAATACATATTGCTTATTAAATTTCATCTTACCTTGCTTATTAAATTCTACATAAGCTGCCCGCTAATTCAGCAGAACCTATGATCCCCCCTTTTACAGTGCAGCCAGGCCCTTAGATAGAAAGGAAAAATGTTGCCCCAATTTATTTTTTTCATTTATTTTTTCATGATGATTTGCTGAATTGCACTGTGGAGCAGTGTAATCTGTATGCCAACCAATACATTGCCAACAATCCCAATTCATGATATGCACACCCATTTTTGTAGAAAGCTGACACCATGGAGGAATTTAACGTTTTTCTTGCACATACATTAAGACCACAAAATATTTTAAAAAACGAGTGCGCTGGTGGAACACCAAATCCCATGAACAAATAAATAAAATCAAAATATGGGTCCACAAATGTTTAAAAATGTTGCAATAAAAGCTAAGAGGCTGCTGCCAACACAGTGAAATGTTCCCAGCACAAATCGGAAAACAATAAATGTAGCACTGCCTCCCAATAATATATCAAATATTGTGTAAAAAATTATAATAATAAATAATGTAATATCAACAAAACCAGTGCTATGACATAAATAGTCAAATATATAAATATAAATAAAACACTGATTACTTCAGCACTTGATTAGCTTGTTTCATTTATATTTATATATTTGACTATTTTACAGCACTAGTTTTGTTAATATTACATTATTTATTGTTATAATTTTTTACACAATATTTGATATACACCGCTCAAAAAAATTAAAGGTACACTTCAGATTTCAATGGGGAAAAATATCATGCTGGATATCTAAACTGATATGGACTGGGTAATGTGTTAGGAATGTAAGGATGCCCCATCGTTTGATGGAAATGAAAATTATCAACCTACAGAGGACTGAATTCAGGCACCCCAAAAAGCAAAGTGAATAAATGATGCAGCAGGCTATTCTATTTTGCTGAAAATTCATTGTAGCAACTCAAAAGGTACTCAGTAGTTTGTATGGCCCACACATGCTTTTATGCATGCCTGACAACGTCGGGGCATGCTCCTAATGAGATGGATGGTGTCCTGAGGTATTTCCTCCCAGATCTGGACCAGGGCATCACTGAGCTCCTGGATAGTCTGAGGTGCAACCTGGGGGTGTCGGATGGACCAAAACATGATATACCAGAGGTGCTATATTGGATTTAGTTCAGGCGAGCATGGGGGCCATTCAATGGAATCAATTTCTTCAACCTCCAGGAACTGCCTGTAAGCTCTCACCACATGAGGCCGGGCATTGTCGTGCACCAGGAGGAACCCTGGAGCCACTGCACCAGCCTGGGTCTGACAATGGGTCCAAGGATTTCATCCCAATACCTAATGGCAGTCAGGGTGCCATTGTCTAGCTAGTAGAGGTCTGTGCGTCCCTCAATGGATATGCCTCCCCAGACCATCACTGACCCACCACTAAAACAGTCATCCTGGCACTTACAGGCAGCATAATGTTCTCCACGGCTTCTCCAGACCCTTTCACATCTGTCATATGTGCTCAGGGTGAGCCTGCTCTCAGCTGTGAAAAGCACAGGGTGCCAGTGGCAGACCTGCCAATTCTGGTGTTCAATGGCAAATGCCAATTGAGTTCTATGGTGCCAGGCAGTGAGAACAGGGCCCACTAGACGACTTCGGGCCCTCAAGCCACCCTCATGATATCTGTTTCTGATTGATCAGAGACATTCATACCAGTGGTCTGCAGGAGGTAATTTTATAGGACTCTGGCAGTGCTCATTTCGTTCCTCCTTGCACAAAGGCGCAGATACCGGTCCTGCTGATGAGTTAAGGACCTTCTATGACCCTGTCCAGCTCTCCTAGAGTAACTGCCTGTCTCCTGGCGGAGTTGGACTGCCTGTGCAACCTTCTAGCAATGGCACGTATTGATGTGCCATTTGTATTGCCTGTGCAACCTCTGTACTGTCCAGGTATTGCCTCATGCTACCAGTAGTGTTACTGACCCTAGCCAAATACAAAACGAGTAGAAAAGAGTCAGAAAAGATGGGTAGGGAAAAAATGTCAGTGGCCTTCACCTGTAAAACCATTCCTGTTTTTGGGGTTGTCTCATTGTTGCCCATCTAGTGCACCTGTTAATGTCATTAACACCAAAGCAGCTGAAACTGATTAACAACCCCCTCTGCTACTTAACTGTCTAGATCAATATCCCAGGAGTTCAATGGACTTGATGCTATACTCTGATTAAAAGTGTTCCTTTAATTTTTTTGAGCAGTGTATTATTGTGACGCAATGCTACACATCTATATATTTATTAAATATGGGACTGAAAAAAAAAAATGAAGTGTCTGCTGGTTCACTCAATCCATACATCACATGCCAGTGTATTCTCCATCTATGCTCAGAGCAGGCTATGAGGTGATATTGAGGTTTTTACACTTCAATGATGATACCCAGTGCCATCCTCAATATCATCCTAATTACTATAAGCTGTTCAATATTTGGCCACTCAATTTTTTTCCCACAAGTTTTCAGAAATGTGTACTCCAGACAAAAAAATTTGTGCCGATGAGTACCTCGTACACTTCATCGGAAGGCTGGGCATTAATTTGAGAAGAGTTACCATCTGTATGTCGATAATTTCTATACAAGTCTCCCACTATTCTACCATCTCTACCTCAAGCAAACTGTGGCTGTGGGAAAGTGAGGGCCAACTGCAAGGGCTTCCAACAAAGCAACAAAACTCAAAAGAGGAGAGTCAGTATGGGAAATGAAGAGATATTAGCCCTAAAGTGGAAAGATAAAAGAGATGTCTATGTCCTTTCCTCAATTCATGATGGCACCTCAGTGGAACTTCAGACAAGACAAAGTCCTGTCCAAAAACCCAAGAGTAAACACGACTATAACCAGTTGATGGGGGCTGCAGATGAATGACAAAATGTTACAGCCCTACTTATCCACCAGGAAA